AAAGGTTTACGGTTGGACATACATGTACACTACTTAAGCAATATAGGATGGTTCCAACGTATTTGAACTTCAAAAAAGATCATATTTAGACTTTTTGCTGTTTCCCAATTAGCCCATATCTGTTTAATTGGAATTAAAGAAGAAATTGAATACAGTAAGTCAAATGTTATTGTTCTCTATATCACTACTCAATGCGATAATTCTGATTAAAGTAACAAGGTAAATGGAAAATCTCAAATAATTACTAGACATTTCTTAAATTTATCTTTTACTTTTGATTTTAATCAAATTTTCTCACGTTTTAATTTCGGCTAAAGCTGAATAATTCAGGAAGAAAGACAGGGGAACAGAAAGAGATTTTTTTTCCTGCATGTATTAATTTATGTTACTATGTAGTTTTTTTTTAGTGTTGTAGCACATCAGGTCCATTATTCATTGTCTGGTGACCTTGCCCAGTGTCCATGATTGTAACCTATCATTGGTAATGATTCGCTCAATAATTATGCACACAATGGCAGAGTCAACCAACCATGAAGCTTGGGCTTGGGGTGTACCAAGTGATTTGGTAGCAGCAAAATCCTTTGTTCGAGGTGTGAAACATGTACTAAATATAAAGTCTCTATCTCCTATGGTTCAAGAGTTATTGCGAAGATTCGGAAAAAAGCTATTTTTAGCAAATAGGTCACAGTCAAGGTCACAAGGTCATTGACCTTAGTGTTAATTTGAAGTGGTTAATTAGTGGTTAATTAGTGGAGTATGCGTAATAAATTTGAATCTCTTTCTCTCACGGTTCAAAAGTTATGGCGAGGGTAAAACAACAGACATACAAACAGACGAACAGACATACAAACAGACAGATAGAACAAAAACAAAATGCGCCTCGAATAAATTCAGGCGCATAAAAATATTTTGGTAATACTTGTAGGTTAATAGTAGTAAAATGTAACAAAAGACCAATTAATGTTATTACTTTCAAACAAAAGTAAAAAAAAAAAAGGTAAATTTTTCAATATATAGGTAAAACAATTCTTTATAATACAAAAATCAAGTAAAACATTTGAATTTAGTAATTGGCGTATATTTAAGCAATTGATTTAAAGTTTGAAGTAAATGCTTAGTAATTCTAGTATAAAAAATGACTACAAAGAAAAACTTTTTTAAGAGTGAGATAATTCAAGATATTTCTGGGTTGAATGTTTTTCTTTAATGGAGTGGACCCTTGGATCAGCACCTGTTCAATACTTTTACTCAGAGCCATTGAGCAGTGAGGGATCTTTTTCGTGCCAAAATACAGGGGACACCGATTTATACGATCTCATCCGAACAGTCTCAACGTCCCATAGTGGATTTAATCCCTAGAAATACATATAATGATTAGGTCTGAAGGGAGGGGGGGGGGTCTTCATCAACTCAAAAATATTGTAGTTATATGTTTATTAATAACATGAATTTTTAAAAAATCAATATACATTTAAAACAATTTATTTCGAGGTCCAATTTATAGAACTAGTTTAGGCCGCAGTAGTGGTCGATCTATTTGTGGTTGTGTTAGAAAATGCACATGAGGAAAAGAGACGTTATTTCATTTATATTATATTTATAAATGTTTTTTTATAACTATTCATTATTTTGCTTCAGAGACAGTCTGAAATAATAATGATCACTATTTCAACGTTGGATATCTTGTGCTTTCTTTGCTTGGATACTTTTAAAGTTGTGGAAAAACTTTTGGAAATGCTAAATTTTCTTTGCGGCCGATTTTATGCTTTGCAATAATTCTACTCAAGGTCATGAATGTGTGCATATTTACAAAATACACAAGGAGCGCAGACATCACTTATTCCCATTTAAATATATTTTTCGAATTATCAAAATAAAAAAAAGTTAAGTAAGTCCACACAATAATATTACATGTGTATGTAATTCAAAAGAATAACACGGACACTAGAATTAAGGCTGAACATCCCCTCGCAATTATATAGATCAAGGCAGCATTGGACATCGATCCCGATGCAAATTACATCACTTCCGATTTGGACAGATTCGCCCACATACAAACACACACAAATGCGTTGCTTATATCCCTTAAAATTCCATCGAAAGAAATAATTACATGACATGTACATCTTTTGATATACACAAAAATCCTAAATGAAGTTCAAAAGCCATTTTTTATTGACGGTATTATAAAAGATCTCTCCCCTTATAATGCATATATTTTTATTCATAAAAATTATAAATGTCATAAATTGATTTATATTTTAAACATTCGGAAAAGGACACCTGTATTTAGAATTTTATATTTATTTTTGAAATTTTATTACTGTGATTAGATTTTTCATTTTATGCATTATTTATATTTGTACCACCCTGTGTCATATTTTGATTTTATTACCTGAATAAATCTACTACTATTACTACTACTCATTTAGAAAAAAAAAATGTTTTCAATAGCGGGCGCAAAGACCGTCGCAAAGAGAAGCCTGTACGCAAGTACGTTAAAGCTAAATATGGGATTTTCTATGCAAACTAGCAAATTAAACTGCATACATTGTGTATTTTATGTACACATAAAGTTCAAATTGATTTTCTTATCCGTACGTAGTACCCACAGTATATTAATGCAAGTGTACATTATGACGTCATATTATGACGTCATTGTTCTTTCTTATTCAAGGTAATAAAACACCTCAACAAAATAATGTCGACGGAAGGGCATATCCTATTCACTTTTAGATAAATAATGTATATTATTAAGGAGAATATTATATTAAAGATTAATAAAATTGCTGCACAAATCCTTTGCTCTTCTTCAATCGATACAAATTTCACTAAACTTTCACTGGACTGTACATTTTTACCCTGTTTCAACTTAGAACTGTACGAATAGTAGCTAAACAATTGCAGTGTCGACATTTGTGCAGCATTATCTTAAATCTTTGGAATATTCTGTTTTTCTTTATATTTTGTTTTTGTAAAACAAGGTAAGGTATGCCCTTGCGCCGAAGCGATTTTGTTGATGTTTCTTAAAAATCTCTGTAGTAAAGGCTAATGACATGATAATATGACGTCACAATGAGTACTGGCAATCGCATATTTGCGGGTACCAAAAATGTATTAGAAAACAAGTCATACCATTTTCTTTGCGGTATGTATAGCAATTTTGGGTCTAAATTAATTATTTGGCATAAAAACCTACATACGTAGCCTTAACTCACTTGCATAACTGCGAGCTCTAACGAAAACGCCTATGCGAAGAGAAAATTCGGACTTCTGCACATTCATTCCATAGCAATTTTTGCCGCAGTATTTTTGACCCACAATACATCGCTTCGAATACAAACGCGGGAATAACGACAACAGTAAAAGGAAAAAATAAACTTGCCTATTAAATGAATAGTCATAAACTGATTGAAATCGGCCCTGTTCAGGCTTCGGTTTGGTAAAGCAACAATGCAAACAACGTCATGTGAAGTCAGAGTCTTATATGCACCTAATGTCACTTGCGGTTTGACAAGTCCGATCTAAATGAAAACTGGATAAGTATCTGCGCTCAAATTAAATACTGAACAGGATTCTTCATATTAATTTACTGATGACCTCTTCTTTGCAACAAAACACATCTACGTTTTGAAAATAGAAAAAAATCGTTTTTAAAAATTTTACCTTTCTGTTATTAATGCAGTCAGAGACATATTTATGAACATATGTCGTTGCTATGACAACCATTAGATTATCATCATTACACCTTGATAAAAGATTGATTTATTGATTGTATATTGTTTAACGTCCCTCTTGAGAATTTTTCACTGATATGGAGACGTCATCGTATGCCGGTGAAGGGCTTCAAATTTAGACCTATACTCGGCACTCAGGGCCATTGAGCAGTGAGGGTTCTTTATCGTGCCAGCGCCTACCGTGATACGCGACCTACGTTTTTAAGGTCATATCCGAAAGACCCATGACTTTCACTTTTAGTGCCGAGCGCTTGGCGAAGGAACAGTCACTACCTTTGTTTACGTCTTGGGTATGTCGCGGCGCCTGAAACGAGAATTGAACCCGGGCCTCCCGATCACGAAGCGAACGCTCTACCACTAGGCTACCGTGACCGGTACGTTGACAAAAGAAATTTAGCGGTTGTAACCTATCAAAAAGTTTTATTGCTGTTATCAAAATAAGTGAGTAGGTTTAACTCAATGACCTCAGAGGAAGGTAATGAGTAACTGTGTGTGTATTACGTAATGACGCTACTTTCTAACGTTTACGTCAACAAAATGGTGATTAATTAATTCTTTAGTTATCTTTTTAAATTAGGATTCTCGGACAAATTAATATTTCTAAAAAAAAAAAAGATATCCACAACATATAATCCAAAAAATAAAATTTATTTTTAAGCTGGGGCCGATTTTCCCCCATGGAGCCCCTATCTCTTTGTTTTTTACTTGAAAATACGTATGACAGAATATACGTATGACAATACGTATGAGTAAACAATCATGAAATGGACAAATGAATTGCTCTATACCAATTTTTATGAATGGTTTTAATTACTTTTGCACTGTATAATGTAAGATATCTGCTATATTCCTTATCCCAAGATTTTCTTCCTTTATGATATCAGATTGATTTAAAACTTGACTTCAGATCGATTAACTTTTTGGGGGGTTGTGTTTGCTCTACACCTAATTTGTATTGTATTATGGACTTTGATATTGAATACTATTCTTTATCTCCATATCCTTATTAAATGAATGAAGGGTATGGATATAACGAACAGCAAATATATTCCAGGTTAAAAATGTTTAAATAAAACACTTGTTCTAAGCCCTATAAGTTACACTTGTTTTAAAAGTACGTGTACTAAATCCAAGCAATACGTTAAGAAAAAAAAACAATTTGAGCAGTAATGTGTGGAAAATACTTTTATCCTTGTTTGAGTTTGAACTTATTAATGAAAAGACTTACTACAGAACTTCACTTGTCACTCCTCAAATATAAAAAAATCCCAATAAAACATTGTACATGATGTTTTGTATTTTAGTCAAATGAAACAATTGGAAGGAAGTAATTTCTTTCACCCTTGGCAGTAAACATTCAGGGCCCTTCATCATGAATTCTATAGAGTCAAATAACCAACTCATTATCTACTGGTTTTCTTTGTGTTCAGTACATGTGTCGACATGCAGAGACAACATCTATTGTCTTTTACTCACTCCACTGAATTTCCACATTTTTTTTTAAATGTTGTAAGCAAATTTTCTAATACATTAAATTTCGGAATTTGCTAATAAATTAAATTTCTTTCAATCTGACATATGAAAAAATTGATCAAAAACTTACAGTGTCTGTAAATTTGGCAATCCTTTAAAGGCATTTTCTGGAATGGTGGTTATCTGGTTGCTACGTAGAAATCTGAAAGTATATTTGTTCATTGATTTATTGAAATGTCTATTTTACAAATATAAGTTTATTTACATCTCTGTTTACCAACATTGTAAAAATTGAACTCTTTGCATTAGATTACAGAATTACATGAATTGAACCTATTTCGTCGAAAGGTATTTTTTCGACATTGATGATCTCAAAAATTTACTATAAACCATTAAACAAACAGTAAAAATCAATAGAAGAAATCATTGTTTAGTTCAAAAAAGTTGTTTTTCTTCGTTTGTGTAATTCTTTGAAGATGGATAAAAGTACTTTTCTAACACCCTGTTCGAATGCATCTTCAATTAAAAGGTTCAATATTTCTATATAAAATAAATTTTTTCATCTTTCTGATAGAATCTGTTAATTCTAAATGATATTATACACAAAGTAACCTGAAGGTCAATTTGATATAAATTAAAATATATTAATTAGTTCATTTTTTTCATAAGTTGTAAAAAACTTGTTTAATAAAGAAAAACAGAGAAATCGTATGTTTTCAATGGGAGAAAAATAGTATATACATGACGCAATACTATCGGAATTGAAGAAATTTGATCCAATATCTAACTTTAGAATCCTTTTTCAAACTATATGTTTTAAAGTTTAAATGTAGGGATAAATTAGTACGTTTAAGTAAACGAGAAAGACCAAAAACTGTCCAATCTGTGAGAGAAAGAACTAATCGATGCCCGAGATTAGTTATTTCTCTCACTGAAAGGACAGATTGACGCCTTTGTCCAACTAAAAACATAGTTCTCTTTGTTCTGAGAATAGTTTTTTTCAAATGTGCAAAACAGGTAGCAAACATACAACTAATTCAATGTTTACAGAATGGACAGATACAGGTAAGCTTTGGGAGTACATCAATTTGTTCAATAGCCATTGTGTTTCCAGATGAGAATAACAAAAGGTTTTTATCTTAAGACTGGTCAGTTACAGGTGAATTTCAGGGGAAGTTTGTGTTTTATTTATATCGTAATGCAACTTCTTAAAATCAGTTTATATTTTGCGTTGTAAAGGCAAACATGTTTCCCTCCGCTGCAGAGAAAATATGAAAGAATAGAAATCAAATTGAAACCAAAAGATGCACAAATCTATTGATATTTTTACCTGCAAACAGACAATTGTTAGCGTAAAGAAAATATTCTCCAAACTTTGATCCCCTTAAAACTTCGTTGACGACAAAACATGTAGAGATATTTCAAACTTTTTTTTTTTGAATCTATTTTTTGGGGATATATATTAATTGCAGTCGTGTAATGGTGAAATGCAAATTGTGTTCTGAGTGTTGGATAGCTATGAGCCAAACTTCGACCTGAAAATGTATTTCAAATCGATCTTATATGTTTCAATTTTAATTATTTTCTACCGAAATATTCACTACAGCAGTGTATTTTCATGGTGTCATAGTTTTAATAAAAGCATACTTCAAGCTTAAAATGGATTCTCTCCGAGGAAATGATGCTTCCAAACATTTAATCTAATGATTGTGAAATTGTGTTATTTTAATTCAAGTTTTGTGAAAAAAATATATTTAGAGCATTTAACAAATGTGTATTATTTATGGATTTAAATTTGTAAAATCGGACAGAACCGATACAGACACTATGTTCTGGATTAACTTCAATATCCAAGTTTGTTATTTACATGTCCATTAAATCGTACTTAATGTATTTGTATTTGTTTCCCTCTTTTGCACATGCCGAGGTCTACCTGTAACTCTCCATTCTGTTTGCTTTAATTCTCCATTCATTTTGGAAATTGTCCATTCGTAAAAATTATGGACAGTTTTCCGAAAAGAATGGACACTTACGGGTGTGACTTAATGGAATATTGGGAGAGTTAGTTCAACATTTAGCTATAAAATGGACAACTCAAACAAAGGGTTTCGTCATAATCCTGTTTTAATAAATGTAGAAACATTCATCAATGTACACTATAGATAAGTCGGTTGCAAGTTCAGCCCACATACTATAATATAACCAAGCACTTCTTTTATCCATATGATGTCAGGCAACTTTTTGATTTCTTGATTGGATTCATCTTAAAAAGTGCAATACTTCATAATAAAAAAAATAATTAACAATTATCAGTTTCTCGTTATTCTTATCAAATGACGAATTGTTGTAAATTTTTTAACTTTAACACCATCAAGTGGTCCCCATGCATGGTTTTAAACATATTGATGATGGCTATAAATCAAGCATTATAAACATTCTTGGTTGAAAACTATCACCAATGAAACGAGTCTCTACTTTTTAAATAGACGAAAAGGGGTTCAAATTCGGAATTTACATTCCTGGTCTCTTGTTGCAGTTAGATCATGTCGTACTATTGTATTTTATTGATAATTAGATTATAGGTGTTCATGCCAAAGTTGTAATTAAATTGTATTATTACTAGATAAATGTTATGCATACTTTTACTTATTGTATTCTGATCGAGGAGCATAATCAATCAAATACAACAAGATTTCCAATCATGGACCAATAAATTGCACTGTACTAATTTTATGCATGCATATATGGTTTTGATTACTCTTGCACTATATAAAGTAAAAATTCCTCATCCCAAGATTTTCTTTCTTAATAGAATCAGATTGATTTTAATGCTTGACTTCAGATCGATTCAATAGATATTTGTTATATTAATTGACAACTTTAATACTGAATGCATGGTAAAATGTATATTGGTCTTGTATTTCATTTACTTGCTAGAATTATGTAATAACGATCTTCTGTCAGCTGTATCATTATCTTGCCTACCATTATTGTTTTCGTTTATGTTTTATGTTTTTATGTTTTGTGTTTGTTTTTGTTTGCCGTTTTATATTAATATTGGTTTTCTTTCCATTTTTCCATAACAAATAAATATATAAAATGAGAACGAACCAGGTATGTCTTTTTTTCAACAAATAAGACCGTTATTCTGTGACATTCATATCAGGAGGATTCTTTTTTTTTTCTTTAGACCTACTATAGAAATAGGTAATATTTTGCGGTTGCGTTACAGGGTCAGAAAATTGCTTGGAGAGATTAATATAATTCATTCGAGAACTAGTGCTAATTGTAACGGGGACCGTTACAGATGTTCCCCAAACGCTCCCCAACTTCCTTTTGGTGCCATATTCCCTGTAATCTCTATTAAATAAAAAATACTTTATGGAATTTAGACTTAATCAAGGTCTTCCCAGAAAAATACAAAATATAGTTAAAAATAGGCATTGCACGCGTGTTCATGTGCGTAACGACCATATTATCTTGTCTACACCATCTAAAATTTTAATATACTTAATATCAAAGCATTTAATCCAAAAGTATAAAAAAAAAAATACACTCATTCGAGTGTATTTTTAATTTTAGTCATTGTACGTGCACGCACGTGCAAGCACGTGCATAATGACTACACCTTCTTGTAGGAGTCCCTTATATTTATCTATGTTCTAAATCCCATCCTGTTTGGTGGAAAAACAAGGGAGTTATAGCCATTTGAAGTTTCAGCCAATCAGATTGCAGCACACATACATGCGCGTGATTTCATTAATTTTAATCTCTATCGGATTGAAGGATATCTATATGAATGACTATATTTTAAAATTCCAAACATTGCGTCAAAAAACAAAGGAGATATAGCCATATAAAGTTTCAGCCAATCAGACCCAGCACACGTGCATGCGCGTGGTTTTATGAATTTTTTCCTATATCGTATTTTAGGATATCCTAATGCATGACTATGTTTTAAATTTCAAAGCATTTCGTCAAAAAACAAAGGAGATATAGCCATTTAAAGTTTCAGCCAATCAGATTGCAGCACGCGCGCATGCGCATGCTTTCATGAAAATTTTTATATATCATCCAGTAGATCTTCATAATGTAGGACTATGTTCAAAATTTCAAAAGATTATGACAAGAAACAAGAAAGATATTGAGACTTTAGTTTCAGCCAATCAGAGCGAAGCGCACGTGCATGCGCGTGAGATCTTGCTATTTTGACCATGCCATCTTGTCAATACTACTAATGTATCCTTACATTATGAGTTTCAAAAAAAATCATCCAAAAAAAGAAAAGTTACAGCAATATCAATTATATTGGTCATATCACGTGTTGCACGTGCGCGCTCTTGCAAGTACGTGCGAGCAAAATGACCTTCGTTCGGCAAATCTGCATAACATGTCTACTGACCCTAAAAACATTTTACCTTAGTGGGATGTGTAGTTTACAAGATCATTCGTGGACAAAATTTTCCCAGGAAGAAGAAAAATAATAATAACTAGAGCCGAGCTCGTTGCAAAGCAACGAGTAGGTCTTCCGTCCTGTTCTACCGGAAGTAACTTTCATTTTAAAAAATAAAGAGTAATGAAGTCAAAAAATGGTTTAATCCTCTAAATCTAACTTAATTATTGCAAAATTAAGCCATTTCTGGCTACTTCCGGTTTGACTGGAAGCGAAGTCGACGGACGGAAAATTAAGATTTAAGCTTCCATTGACATATGATATCCAAAAACCTGTCAAGAACAGCAAAAATATGCAATTTTTGACTACTTCCGGTTTGACCGGAAGTGACGTCGACGGACGTTTTTTGACGACGCTTTTAGATAAAGCTTGATATTTTGAACAACTTTGCTTCTTTGACGTATTACAAATTCTTAATTCTTTTTGAGATATAAAGAAAATACTTTTGGCCCCTCTAGGCCCTTAATGTTAGGGGCCAGCCCTTTTTTCGAGATGTCATTTGAAAGATCTTGTAATTCTACACTTCTTTTGTTCTACATGTCTTAACAAAATATTTCTAGGTAAAAAGTTATCTTTGAAAAGGTGTCAAAATTTTTGAAATTCTTCATAGGACAATTTTCGCGCCATAGCGAGCGTCAGCGCTTCGTATTTCCGGAAGTTGTAATATACTCAATTCACTTTTCCAAAGGTTGCTCTATCATCACTGAAAATTTCATACTTCTATCTTCAACGGTTTTTGAGAACATTGC